GCCTGGAAGTCTGGTCTTGGTCCCATGACTGAAGGGAAAACATTTTCTCTTGTTTCTTTCTATTTCGTTTCTTTCCTTGTAAATCAAGCCCAATCCCCTTCCAACTCCTGACACTGTGCTTGCCCTCAGAAAGCCATACAAAGCCTACCTTTCATTGTCCATCTCCCTGTCCATGTCTCCTTCAGCAGTGAATTTTCAATGATACATTCATAAGATTTATTTGGGAATGTAGTAATCAATGTACTTTTGATATGAAATGGAGGCAAAGGCCCAATTTCTTCCACAACATTTTCAGAGATAATTTTATTGTCTTCTTGCCATGTGATATTTGGCCGAGGAGCAACCTCTAACATAGAGCATGTCAGGGGGCTGTGCATGCTGCTTGTTTCAAGCTTCATCATAGGCATGTGGAAAGCTATGTGGGAGAAAGAAGGACATATAAAGAAATGTCATCATTAGCTTCTTTATAGGGCATCTGCAGCACACTTATTATTTTAATACACATGATAGGAAAAGCTAAGCTTCATGAGCAAAACTGCATTTACTGAAAGGAAAAAGAAAACAAAAATGCTGTGGAAACTTAAGATGTAGGGTATTTATATAGAAGGGGTAAAAAGAGAACACATATATACATAGCAAGTAGCAATGTCATCTCTCTAGAAACATAGCTGAGAAAGATATCCAATGTCCTCTCTGAGCAAGCAAATGTAGGTGTCCAAGTCTATAAACCAGAGCTTATGCAGCTCTCCTAATGCCTCAGATACTTACTCAGAGAATACTTGGCTCTTTGTTTACCTATAATTCAAATAAACTTAGATTTCTGACTCGAACTCTGAAGCAGCTAAATGGGACAAAGGAAGAAGGAACAGGTGCTGGGTCAAACCACTCATTAGAAAACAGCAAAAAAAAAAAAAAAAAAAAAAAGATATTTAAAAAAAGGAATGTATATGATATAAAAACTCATTTATAAAACAGAAAAATGTGATTTAAATGAATAGTTCATTATATTTTTCAGTCATCATATTGGCAATAATTTTAAGGATTGATCATGTTTGGTGCTGACCAGATTGTGGAGGAAAATGGGTACTTTCATGCTGCTGGTGGCAGTAACATTAAAATCCTACTTCTGTTACTTTTCTTTCAGATCATTTCCCAGTGCTAACTGTTCCCAGGCTGTCTGTTACAACATTGTTTTAATGCAAAACACAGGAAATACTAGAATATCCACCAATGGGTAAATGTTCTGTCAATTATTGCATGTCTGCACTATGAGATGCTATTCATTGAAAGGAATAAGGTAGAGCTGTACATATGGACCGGGAAGGAAGTGACAGATAGCATATTAGCTTTAGAAGAAGACATGGAAGGATACCATTTTTATGTTTTATAAAAACCTTACATGCACACTTACCTCCCACCTTTAGCACTACTTTTTGTGAGACTGGGAGGCTAGATGTGGTTCCCGCATAACAGATGTAAATTCCTTCATCCTGAAGGTTTAATCTTCTGAGAGACAGAGAAGCATTCCCATTGTGAATGTCCCTGTGGAAGAGTGAAGTCCTGTTTGCATATCTGGTGTCTTGCCTTTCCAGTTGGTCCGTGTCTTTGTAGTAGCTGTGAACATAGGAATCTTGAATCTTCCAGTGAATTACAACTTCAGGCCCACTTTTAAATGAGCAAGGGAGAATTCTGTCTTCATTAAGCTTCCCAATGACTTTCTCTTCATTTGCAGAAATCAAAGAGCTGAAGAGATTTATAGGGAATGTATCTAAAATGAAGAGTAGAGAAGTTACAAAGATAATTAGTGATGGGTGCTTATCGAGAACTGTATCTGGAACCCAGAAGAACCATCCTAGTTCAGCAGCCTAATCATTAACAGACCACATCATCAAGAACCTTTAGTAGTCTTATTACTAAACACAGCTTCATGGCTTGCTTCTGAGTTTCTACAATTTTAATTGAAAACTAATTTGATTCAATTTTACTTTGTGAGGACTGACAACAGCCCAAAGTATAGAAACATTGGTTTGCTACTCACTTGATCAAATAGTCTCATCTGTCTTCCCATCCTAGCCTTGCACAATGCTAGAAATTATGTATATTATGCATATAAACGACTCCTATTGGTTTTTATTCCCAGAATACATTCACTTTTAACAACTATTATAGTAATAATAAGGAGCCCTGGTAGCAGAGGGATTAAAAGCACTTGGCTGCTGACTGAAAGGTCACCAGTTATAACCCACCAGTCACTCTGCAGGAAAAAGATGAAGCAGTCTGCTTCTGTAAAGATTTACAGCCTTGGAAACTCTATGGGGTAGTTCTACTCTGGTGACATAGTGCCAGATGGCATTTGACTGCTAATCAGAAGGCTGGCAGTTCAAACCCACCAGGCACTCCTCAGAAGGAAGATTGGGCAATCTACTTCTGTAGCGGTAACACCTCGGAAACCCAAGGAGGGGTCGCTATGAGTCAGATCCGACTCAACGGCAGTGAGTTTGGTTTTGGGTTTTATATGGTTGCTGCAAATTGGAATCTACTCAATAGCATTGAATTTGGTTTAGTTTTGGTGTAACAATAATATATTAGCTTATCCAGCTAATTAGAATCAGTAGGACCTTAAAGAATGGAATATACTTATCTTGATTGGGTTGGGAAATATGGAGTAGAAAATGAGGGGTTAAGAAAGCTGTTAGGAATATCCAGACACTAGTCTCAAGTAGGGGAGGATATGGGCAGGAGCACCCACAGGGTAATTAAAATGACTCATTTAATTTAGGAGCTCTGGTTTTGGCTTAGGATCACTCTCAGGATAGCCTATGATTCAGTCAAAACATATTTAAGAAATACTACTCTGTATACAAATGTGAAAGTCCAATTCTCCCAAATTTCGTTTTTTAAAACTGTCAATTTTAGTAGTTCATTTTAAAAAGCAAGTGGATTTCATCATAATACAGGTTTTTGCAAGGAAAACATGCCTAGCTACTCCATGATCATTAAAGGCATACAAAAGCTCTTTCTTCTTGTTTATTTGGCTTCTCTGGCCAATTCACAAAGCATTGTGAATTTCTTTGTGGATTCTAAGATATTAGGGCTAGCAGGGACCTCATCTTACAGACAGTGGAGTAAGCTCTTCTGGACTTTGGCTGAACCCAACCAAAATGGAAAACTGCCCCAAATCTTCCCTCTCTTCCTCCTCCTCCAGGCTCTTTCCATCCTGCCATGCCTCTCCTTTCATAGACAGTGTTGATTTATTTCTGTACAGAGAGCTAAAGGGATGTGGTTCTATGCTGAGAGAAAGACACAGGAAGGTGGGAAAGAAAAGTAGTGATTGTCAGCTTCCCTAATTGCTGTACTAAACCCTTCCAATATTTCAATGGATAATTAAGAATTCCTGTCTCAGAAGGTAGCAAAGCTGATAATGCTTTCTGTCAAGTGTTGAGTACCAAGTTAACACTTACCAAAAAAAAAAAAAAAAATCCATAAGTCAATCAAACTAGCTTTTCTTGTGATTTTATTTCTGGTATCAGATAACAGATTAGAAAGTGCCTTAATCAGAGTGGACAGAGCATACATGGTTTTTAATCTTCATTTAGACTCCCACCCCTTCCTTGTTTCTCATTAACTGATCTTTTAGCAAAGTTTATGATGCTATGGCTATAGACGAAACAGCCACCTTGTACGGGTGCTCGTGTTCTAATTGTACAAACAACCAATACTTGGGTGTATAATCAATAGAACTTACTTTGGAGTCCACTCAGAGATGGTATGAGAATGAAGAAGAAAGACAGCACTACCTCTGATTTCATTGTGTTATGAAGGTCATATTCGTTATGCCACACAGAGAAGCCAGGCACACATGCTTTGGACCTTAAAGGCAAAAAGGGAATTCAGAAAGAAAATAAAGAAAGAGTCTGACTGTAGAAGGTTGGTTAAATAAACGATGGTACATCCACACAAATAACTCTTCTGCAGCCATTAAAGACAACATTGTACAAGATGGTTCAAAGGCATGTAAGGAAGTTCATGGAAAAAGTTCATGGAAAAACAAAAAAGTATGTTTTAGGAGAGAAATCAGATTATAATACAATTTTTAAATTGCATGGTCTCTTTTTAAAAGCATACTTTTATATGCACATAGGAGACTGACAAGATTTACTGTATTATTATATACACTAGAAATTAACTCTGAAGGACAAGATTCACATCTAAAACAGTGCCTGATACATATTATAATGAATAATGGCTTATTGAATGAATAAATATTTGTTGTATGTTCAACGATGGTTCTGACTAACAATCTTTGCTATTTTTAAAGCTTTCTATGATAGGCATATATAGCTTTTACAGTAACAAAAATACTAAGAAACAGATTCAATATTAAATGTCATTGATGTTAACTATGGTGTAGTTTTATTTGTGATCTGATGTAAACAATTAAGACAACACTTGGATAAATTTTATGTTCTTAAATGTACAATAATCATAAATCATAAGGCAGCCATTAAAAACATGTTTTATAAAGTCTTTAAAAGAGAATCGTTGTTTAGGTAGCATTGAGTTTTTGTTAGGGGGATGGAAAATTTGGCAACAGACATTGGTAATGCTGCATAATATGAGTGATGTAATTGGTTTTCCTGAATTGTACATGTGAAAAATGTTGAATCAGCAAATGTGTTCTTTATATTTTTACAAAAATAAAAAATGTTTTTTAAAAAGTGAGAAAAACATAGATGGCAAACAATATAATTTCAAGTAAGTAATACATAACTAATCTTCCTTGGTGATGGAATTATAGGTAATTTTTTCTCTATGAAAAAAATAGCTTGTTTAAAGTATACTATATAATTAGTTTTAGAACCTCTAAAAGAAAATTTTAAAGAAATCATTTGAGAGCTGTACTACTGACAAGGATGCATTCCAAATATTTTGTGGGATATGAGACTTAAGAATGATTACAACTATAGTGAAAAATAATATTAGATTCCTTAATCACATCTTACTAAAATAAAACCTAGTAAATTAATGATTTATCATTTCACTTTTACATTTTTAAATACTAGAAGCAAATAATTGAACTTTCAGTCTTGGAAGAGGATCTTTTTAACATGACTATACATTTTTTTTCCATTATGAATATGTCTCCTAAAAATTGGAAAAGCAACACAAACAAATATTAAAATACAAATAAATAGAGAAAACATTTGCAATATGACAAAGTTAACACTCTGGTAGCTTCCATTTCTCTCAGATCTCAAACGTGTGGTGAAGTTAAAACTGTAGCCACAGTGTATTTGTATGAAAGTGAGTCCTTTTTATTTCTTCCAAAAGATATATTTGAATGTATAATGTATGAAGTGTATATATCATAATAATTATCTCTGAATGGTAAGATTATAAGTAATTATTGAACACATTTTTCTACTATGAAACTATGGTACTTAAATACTTTTTACCTTTACAGAACATCAAAACAAAAATACCCTTAAAATTTCATCACAGTCTCTTTCCAAGGGGAAATTAACTTAAATGCACCTTAATGTAACTTTGGGGCATTTTCTGCCCACAATCCTACTATATTGTCTAGAATAGGTTTATCTTTCCACTCTGTGAAACTGTTATTTGCTCCTTTCTCTTTAAAATTTCTAACATCTCCTCTTCTTATATCCCTTTCAGCTAATATTCTTGTTCATTAATTGTGTATATGTTGTATTTGGTGCCGCCAAGTCAGTTCCCACTCACAGCAACCCTATGCACGACAGAACTGAATGCTGCCAGGTCCTGCACCAGCCTCAATTAGTATGATTAGTTTTAGGTACTCCCTCACCCTCCTGCTACTAATTCAACAAATCCACTAACAGCTATGTCCACTCTTTCTGCCTCCCCTTCTGCTCCTATCCAAGGCCAAACCCTCCACTTGTATTCTGTGTCCCAATCTTTTTTGCATTCAAGTAGTTTTTCCTGCCATTGCAACTCCTTTCTTCTTTGTCAATAGGTTAACTCTTCTATATCAATCCTATGAGGACTAATGCTCCAATGTCTTTCATCATAAGAACATGACAAAAAATAAAACTCTCCTGAGTCCTACCTTCTCTTCTCATTCGCTATCAACCAATTTTTCAGCTCCATTAACTCCTTAAAGTAATTGCCTCCATTTCCCCCTTTACTGTTATCCCTTCAACCCCCTGTAAGTGTGCTCCTGTGTGATGCCTCATAAACTGTCTTTGTCAGTGTCACCAAGAACTTCCACTTAGCTAATAACAGTGGTTACATTTTTTCCTCATCTTACTCAACCCTTCAGCAACATAAGGGGCTGTTTGCTTCCTCATAAAATTCCTTTTTTTTTTTTCTTGTGATATACCATATTCTTCTAGTTTTTCCTTTCTCATTGATGCTTCTCCTTAGTCCTTTCCTGGCCCTCTCCTCTGTTTGACTTCTTTATGTGGGAATATCAAAGGGTATGTCTTCAGGCCTCTACTTTTCTACAATCAGAGCAAATCTAGTCTATTACTCCAAAAGTCATCTGCACATAATGGATTCTCCAGCTGATCCCCTGACCTTTCTACTGAGTCAAGGTCATATACTCGACTTCACATTTGACCTAGTTACTTTGACACCTTATAGGTAGGAGAAAGACCTGGTGATCTGCTCCCATAAAGAGTACAGGCTTGGAAAACTGACGGGGCAATTCTACTCTGTTCTATAAGGCTACTATAAGTTGCAATTGATTTGATGATATGTAGCAACAACAAAGGCATTGTAAAGCTGGCACAAACCCTTGCTTTTCACTTATTTTCCCTCACCACTGCTGTTTGTCCTACTCCAAGCAAAACAAGACAGCAAAAATAACCTTGTTCCTTCTTCAATCTTCATCTCAGTAATTGGTACCAAATTTTTCAATTGTTTACACTAGAAACCTAGTAATCAATCCTGAGTCTTTCTTTCTCTCATGTTATTGTTAGCCGCTATCGAGTTGGCTCTGACTCATAGTGACCTTACATACAGCAGAAAAAAACACTGCCCAGTCCTGCGCTATCCTCACAATCTTGCTATACTTGAGCCCATGATTGCAGCCACTCTATCAACCCATCTTGTTGAGGATTTTCCCCTTCTTTGCTGACCCTCTCTACCTTACCAAGCATGATATCCTTCTCCAGGGAATGGTCCCTTCTGATAATATAAGAATCTGGCCATTCTCACTTCCAAGGAGCATTCTGACTGCACTTCTTCCAAGACAGATTTGTTCATTCTTTTGGCAGTCCATAGTATTCTCAGTATTCTTTGCCAAAACCACAATTCAAAGGCATCAGCTCTTCCTGATTTTAAACCATGCAGCAACCCCTTGTTCTGTCTGAACAACAGCATTTCATTCTCTGTACAAGTTCCTCGTGAGAACAATTAAGTGTTACGGAATTCTCATCCTTTGCAGTATTATCCATAATTTGTTATGATCCACACGGTCAAATGCTTTTGCATAGGCAATCAAACATAATTAAATATCTTTCTGGTATTCTTTGCTTTCAGCCAAGATCCATCTGTTATCAGCAATAATATCCCTCATTCCATATCCTCTTCTAAATCCACTTTGAATTTCTGGAAGTTTTCTATCCATATCCTGCTGCAATCGTTTTTGGATTATCTTCAGCAAAATTTCATTTGCGTGTGATATCAATGATATTGTTTGATAATTTGCACATTCTGTTGGATCACCTTTCTTTAGAATGGGTAAAATTATTAAGCTCTTCCAGCCAATTGACCAGATAATTGTCTTCCAAATTTCTTGGCATAAATGAGTAAGTGCCTCCAGCACTGTATCCATCCGTTGAAACTTCTCAATGAGTATTCTGTCAATCCCTGGAGCCTTGTTTTTCACCAATTCCTTCAGTGAAGCCTTGATTTCTTCCTTCAATAACATGGACTCTTGATCATATGCCACTTCCTGAAATAGTAGGACATCGACCAATTCTTTTGGATAGAGTGACTCTGTGTATTCTTCCCATCTTCTTTTGATGCTTCCTTCATAGTTCAGTACTTTCCCCATGTTGTTGTTGTTGTTAAGTGCCGTCAAGTTATTTCTGACTCATAGTGACCCCATGCACAGCAGAACAAAACACTGCCCGATCCCGCGCCAGCCCCACAATCCCTGCTATACTTGAGCCCATCATCGCAGCCACTGTGTCAATCCATTTTGTTGAAGGCCT